TTTAAATAGCAAGCACAAGGCCCAAGGTCAAACCCTAGTACCTCCCCTCTAAAAAAAATAATAGAGAAACATGTTCCAAATTTCAATTTTTCTCTTCCCAATGCAGAAAATTAGACTCCTTCTTTTGGAAACACTTCCTTAGCTTAGCTACTACTGTGAACCTACATTTTTGCCTGGTTTTCCTCCTATCCCAAGTGGTTGTTTTTGCAGGTTCCTTTCCAATGCCCTGTTCTTCTACCTAACTCCTCAAATTTGGAAGGTCAAGGGGTCAGTCTTAGACCAGCCTCTTGCTTTGAGTACTACCTATTCACGGACAGCTCTTAGATGTCACCCACCAACCTGGACCACTTTCCTGAGCTTAGTTGTGAGAACAGCTAAATTCTATCAGAATCTTGCTATCACAAATTTAACATGGCCAGCTCAAGGCATCCAATGACATAAGTCCAAATTCAGAGAATTAGCTGACTTCCTTCACACATCTCACCAGTTACTGCCTATACCCCCCACTTCCAACTACATCCTGAGTCTGACCAGATCTCATGTTCTCCATAGCTATGGTCTCTCCGCCATGGACCCTACACTAATAGTCACTTAATACTATAAACCATCCTCCAAAGAGTAGGGCGAGTGATCTTTCTAAAGCTTAAATAAGATCATGCCATTCTCTATCTTCGACCCACCAATGGTTTCCCAGTAATTTAGAAAAACATCCAGTATCTTTCCATAAATGCCCACAAGGCCTTGCTTCCCTCTCTAGCCTTCATTCCCTCCCCGGTTCTCCTTGCTTACTGCCATGTTGGTGTAACAATAGTTACTCCCAACTAGCTGCCAGGAAGCAAGGCTGTGTCCCAAGGTGCTTCCAAGTTTAGTGAAAGATGATACAGGATCAGGAAAACAATTACAATGCTAGGAGAGGAACCTGGATGGTGAGCAATGAATTATGAGCCCTGGGAATGAAGCACTTTCTGAGTCTCCCTGGTGAACAGAGTGGGCAGGGAGTGCTCATGGTGAAGGATTCCAGAAGAGGTGATATTACAGAAGTCAGGAAAGGATAGGAGATGTCTCAGGTTGGAAGAGGCTCATTCAAATGTTCCCAAGGATGCAACAGGAAAGCACTGTGCCTGGGATTGAAAGAGAAGGTGGGAAAGGGGTGTAGACTGGAACCACTCAGTTCCATGCAGGTACTGAGCACACAGCATGACTAGTGCCAGGTGATGAAATAATAGTATTATGGATATACTGTATGAAGTAAAACATTTTCTTAAAATTAATTTCATTTATTTTTACATTTTATAAAAAAATTTTAAATTGCATACGTGACTTGCTTTTATATTCCTCTTGGACAACACTGGTCTAGAAAGATAAGAAGGTGGTCATGAAAGGCTTTCCATATGATGCTAAACTTGAATCTCTTCCATAAGCATTCATTCCACAGATAATGGGGCCACTGAGAGCATCTGTGTGCGCAAGTAATATGTTCATATCTGCACTTACACAAGTAGGCATCCAGGGGATACCATATGTGCATTATTTTAAACCAATCTCCCCTCTGTCCTCTGGAAAGAGTGGCTTGGGAAAGAAAGCCTTCTGCACACTACTCCTCTCTGCAGCCCAGGACAGAGTCCCAAGTCCACCTCTGGGCAGCTTAAGCAAGAGAAAAGATTTTTCCATGGTTATGGTTTTAGAACACAGCAGAGAAGACTCAAGGCCGTGAGTGACCACCATTAATACATGTGTGCCCCACTCCAACTCTGCCACCAGGAAAATGACTGCCAGACCTGCAAAACCACTGGAGGCCAAGAGGAGATGGCCACGCACTGATCCTTTGGGCCACAGCAGACCTACATAAAGACACCACAGTGAGAGTGGCTCCAACTCCCGAAAAACGTCCATCCACCCGTGACTGGGGACAGCTTGGAAAAGAGTGCTCCTTGTGGTTCTTCACTCTACAAAATTGAGTAAAAAAGCATGTACCTGCTGGGTCTGGCTTGGATACCACTGTTCTTGAGTTTAAGTATTAAGAATTCTGAGATTGAATGGAGTTTTTAAAAAGACTCTGGAACTTGTTTTCTTGATACAAATACATTAATGAAAAATACCAGATTCGTACTCTATACTGCTTCCTTCACTTTAAAAAGAGCAAAAAGCAAAGCAGAGAAATTCCTAATTATCTCAAGGATTCTGTCAACCTTTTAGGCTTCTCTGGGTAGGATTTCTGCAAATATCTTAACTCACCAAAGTCTATAAATTTTGCAAAGACCTGGGGCTGTACTTTCCTTGTTCCTCACAGAGGCACCAGGTCTTTAAAGAAATGATGAATGGGTATAGTTATAAATAGTCTAAGGCTAACAAGAATCAAAATGAGCTATAGAAAAATCTGGTATTTGGGGAATAGATACTGGCATATGCTTGAGTTAAAAATTCCAGAGCTATTTTGTTAGGTAAGAACAACAAAGTGAAGAAAGCATTCATAAATTACTATAATTTCAAAATTCAACAAATAGTATTTAATTTTAAAGTGTCTGTTTTTTAAAATGTAAGGAACTGACTGCTAATTAAGATATGAGTTATATACATGGACATTTTAAGGATTTTAATAGAATGAATGTTTGTCACTTCATTAACAGTGAGGGGAAAAGCAATATTAATCAAAATCCTACAAATAATAAAGTGTGCTGTGTTTGACTTAGCAACTGTTCTGGTCTGAGGCAGGGCTAAGAGTAGAGGACCTTCACTGGAATCGGCTGGTAATTTCTCATCATTTGATAAACACTTCTGTGTGGTGTTATTCCCTGTACTGATGTGTTCACAAGATCACAGATTATAAATGGATACTACCTAGAGTTGCCAAATTTAGCAAAAAAAAAAAAAAAGTCCAATTAAAATTGAATTTCACATAAACAGTGGATAACTTTTTAGTGTATCTCCCTAAGTATATCAGATGAACATACTTACAATAAAAATATTTTCAATTATTATAAGTAAGAAGTAAGAAGTTGTATTTTCTTGCACACTGTACTTTCCATGGCAAGCCCACTGGGTACGCTAAGCTGCAAGAACATTTTGACTGACTATCAGGACAGCAGATCCGTCCTGGTACCTTGAGTTGCCCTCAGATCGAAATCCAGTAATTCTTTTATGACAGATGGTGACAAATGTGACTAAGCAGACATCTCAACACAGCATCCAGTGTCCATGGAAACACATTCAAAAACTGTCTGCCTGCCTTCCTAAATTAATCTAGAATCATACAATCATGGAATTTTAGAATCAGAGCCCTGAATAGATTTTTTTTTTTAAAGAAAGAAATTATGTCATTTGCGAGTGCAAAGAACTTTCCCATGACCAACTCCCAACATAGGGGGAGAGAGGGATGCGAACACTGTATTTAACTTTGGGAGAGCCAAGGTGTCAGGCCTCTGAAGTCCCACATTTTATTTATTCTTCCAATGTTAGGAACTTATTAAGGGCCATCTTTAAGAGTGATGACATGAATAGAAAAGAAATGGATTGGGAACATCTCCAGGATGAATGGTCATCAAATTCATCTGGGTAACACAAGTGTTTGGTGATCAGTGGGTACTTGATGGGTGTTAGATGAATGACTGAGCCACTGCATGTAGTCTGGAGTCAATGAAACCAAATGTGTTGGGGGAGGGGCCCACAAAAGGGAAAAAAAAATCACATGAAGAGTAGGCTCACAGGCATAGTGATCACAGCCCCTGGCCCAACCTCATTTTCCTAACCAGACTTATGGCTTGTGACAATGCTAATCACGATGCAGAGATACCATCACTCCCTGCATTTGGATCTCTAGAAAAACAACCAGATTTCAGCCTGGGTTCACCTCAGACCTAGTGGCTTCCCCTCTCTGGGCCCAGCCTATCTAGCAGGGGCACAGGCCAGTGGACCACAGGCTTTCACAGACCTCTAGAAACACCTATGACTCAGCTACAAAAGGAAATCAGAACTATCAAAGTTAATAAATGCTTGCTTAAATGTCTGCAAAATATTACTCTAAGTCAATAATCAACTGTAACTCAGTGCTCATATGGTTAAATACAGTTAACCATAAATAGGTAAAATGCATTTGATTAATTCTAATGCATGAGATGGGACCAGCTTTGTCCACATTACACCCCCCACCCACCATGTGTGGCCGCTCTGATCACAGTGTGTATCACCTCATGGACCACCTCTGGCAACATTCAGAGAAGGAATCCTTTCTTCTGCTTCCCCTCATCTCCTACTGTCTCCCTCAACACTGTTCATTGCAGTCATGCTCTTCTCAACACAGTGAATTTGTTTACCCACAAAATCTGTTAACCCACAGTCCCCCCTACCACACTGACATACCATATAGGACAGCTAAAGACTTCTGTGTAGGTCTGCTGGGAATAGTCCCAATGGTTGAAAAGTGAAAGGAGGTACAAATATTTTAAATAGCTAACCTTGATGTGTGGCTCACCATACATCACTTACTGGGCTCAGGTGTCACTTACTGACACCTCAGTGACAATGGATTCCACTGAGGTGGGATCCATTCTCATTCTCATTTTATAGACAAAGAACTGGAAAGGTTCTGGTCAGAGGGCTGAGCCAGGAGTTAAACTTGGGACAGCCTGATTCTGCTTTAGATAAGTCATTGAGCAAGCTAGCTCTAGAATGAAGGAGACAAAAGTCTTTACTGGAATGTGGTTCATATCTATAAGAATGTTATGCCCCAAATAGGCTAATTCTAGGAGAAAAGAGGGTGGAAGACCACAGGAGAATAAAGACACCGAACAGATTTTTTCAAACAAGGAAGTGGGGACGATGGCGAACATAAGATAAGCCCACCTGGAACTGATGGCAGAGCTACTAGGCCTGCATTTTGAAGCCAGAAGATCACTGAATGAAGAGGCAAAGCCTCCTAGTGCCAAGAGCTGGAGGGAGATAACAAGCTCATTCATTTCAACCACATCATTAATAGATGGGGACAAAGCCAAGGGTCAAATAACCTGTCTGAGACAGCACAGCTGCAGCCGAAGAGAATCCTGGGCCTCCAGACTCCACTTCAATGCTCAGTTGCTCACTCTGAATGTCTCCCTGGGCCTACAAGTGAGAAGTGAAAGGAAAAAGAACTGGAAACATCCAAGGAAGGAAAAAAGGCAACCCAGGACACGTGCAGAGAACCCTGACCTCCAAGCCTCTCTGAGAAACCTTTAAGGATCCATGAGTAAGAAGTTGCTGTAACCAAAAGGAGACATATCAGGTTTTTTGTGTTCTCTCTCTTTCTCTCTCTCGATTCAGGAAGCTAAACCAGTAGCCAAATTTCTGTCAGAGCTAAAATGGAGTTTTGGCAGATTCTTGTGAGCACAGGCACTAACAAGGATTCACTAAGAATATCATGTCAAGTTAACTTTTATATCCTGTTTTTTTTTTCATTTTTCTTTTATTATTCATATGTGCATACAAGGCTTGGTTCATTTCTCCCCCCCTGCCCCCACCCCCTCCCTTACCACCCACTCCGCCCCCTCCCTCTCCCCCCCCTCAATACCCAGCAGAAACTATTTTGCCCTTATTTCTAATTTTGTTGTAGAGAGAGTATAAGCAATAATAGGAAGGAACAAGGGTTTTTGCTAGTTAAGATAAGGATAGCTATACAGGGCATTGACTCACATTGATTTCCTGTGCGTGGGTGTTACCTTCTAGGTTAATTCTTTTTGATCTAACCTTTTCTCTAGTACCTGTTCCCCTTTTCCTATTGGCCTCAGTTGCTTTAAGGTATCTGCTTTAGTTTCTCTGCGTTAAGGGCAACAAATGCTAGCTAGTTTTTTAGGTGTCTTACCTATCCTCACCCCTCCCTTGTGTGCTCTCGCTTTTATCATGTGCTTATAGTCCAATCCCCTTGTTGTGTTTGCCCTTGATCTAATGTCCACATATGAGGGAGAACATACAATTTTTGGTTTTTTGAGCCAGGCTAACCTCACTCAGAATGATGTTCTCCAATTCCATCCATTTACCAGCGAATGATAACATTTCATTCTTCTTCATGGCTGCATAGAATTCCATTGTGTATAGATACCACATTTTCTTAATCCATTCCTCAGTGCTGGGGCATCTTGGCTGTTTCCATAACTTGGCTATTGTGAATAGTGCCACAATAAACATGGATGTGCATGTGCCTCTGGAGTAACAGTCTTTTGGGTATATCCCCAAGAGTGGTATTGCTGGATCAAATGGTAGATCGATGTCCAGCTTTTTAAGTAGCCTCCAAATTTTTTTCCAGAGTGGTTGTACTAGTCTACATTCCCACCAACAGTGTAAGAGGGTTCCTTTTTCCCCACATCCTCGCCAACACCTGTTGGTGGTGGTGTTGCTGATGATGGCTATTCTAACAGGGGTGAGGTGGAATCTTAGCGTGGTTTTAATTTGCATTTCCTTTATTGCTAGAGGTGGTGAGCATTTTTTCATGTGTTTTCTGGCCATTTGAATTTCTTCTTTTGAGAAAGTTCTGTTTAGTTCACGTGCCCATTTCTTTATTGGTTCATTAGTTTTGGGAGAATTTAGTTTTTTAAGTTCCCTGTATATTCTGGTTATCAGTCCTTTGTCTGATGTATAGTTGGCAAATATTTTCTCCCACTCTGTGGGTTTTCTCTTCAGTTTAGAGACCATTTCTTTTGATGAACAGAAGCTTTTTAGTTTTATGAGGTCCCATTTATCTATGCTATCTCTTAGTTGCTGTGCTGCTGGGGTTTCATTGAGAAAGTTTTACCTATACCTACTAACTCCAGAGTATTGAGCAGGAAAAGTCAGGTCCACTTAGGCATCAGCTGGAGAATAAAATGATAAAATAAGAGCTGGTCTCAGCCTCTTAGGACATCTTCACCAGTCCCATACAGACTTGAGACCGAGGCCTCTACACTCCCGGGGGAACTTTCACCCACTGTACTAACTAAGGCAACATCTGCTAATGGTTTTACTGACCTGCCCGAGTCCTTCAAGTCAACTGTGAGCTGGCATATCCCCAGCCTAGCACACATGTGAACTCAAACTTTGTGTCTGTGTTCATTCTCCATCACCTGTGAGCATCCATCATGTGTGCATGTTATGCTGAGCCCCCAGCACACTTTGCTTAGCAGACAGACAAGGTCCCTGCCTGCCCTCAGGGAAACTGAGCTCTAGTGTGAGCGACACTAGGCATTGAGTGAAAAGTAATCATGCAAGTGCTCATCAGTGTTATGAAGAGAAAGCAATGGATGCTGTGAGTGGGGGAATTAGGGAAAACTTCTCTGAGGCAATGATGTGTAAGCCAAGAATGAAGACAGAAGTTAGCAAGTTAAAGGATGGGGGAAGGTCACTTCTAAAAGAAGAAAGCCTGTGAGGTTCAGTGAATGGAAAGAAGACCTGTAAGGCCCAAGACGGGACAGAAGAGGACCAACTGTGAAAGGTGGTTGGGTCTCTCAAGGATTCCCACTCCTAGAGCAATGGAGCATGAAACTGAAGGGTTACAGAAGGGAAGTGGGGTCAGGTGTGTAGTGTATGCCTGTACACAACCTGCAGGAGACATAAGCAGGAGGGTCTTGGTACAGACTTCCTAGGTAAGAAAAAACACAGGAACTTATCTGAGAAATAAGTAAAGCAAAAAGAGCTGGGAACATGGCTCAAATAGTAGATTGCTTGAGTATAAGGTGCTGAGTTCAATTCCCCAGAAGAGGCAATACATAAATAAAGCAGGGAAATGATGCAATAAGACCACTCTGTGTATCCAGAACAACTTGAAAGAGGAAGGCAGCAGACCCTGTTAAGAGAGCCTGCGATAATCCTAGAAAGTTTAGAATGGACAGAGATACACATCACACACTATTCTCACTGGTACAGAATAATAACCCAGTCTAATTCATGCTTGGGTAATAATTTGGAGGAAGTGCTTCACAGGGCCCCATTTCTCCTTGGCTCTGCCCTTGGTCTCTGTCTTTTCCAACATCTTTATCTTGATGGGGATGAGGCCAGAAGGAAAACTAGCAACGTTGCTGAGCACATAAATCTGAGAGGAATGGCCAATGTCAAAGACCCAAGTGAAGCATCACTTGTCTTTGTTCATAGGCTCAGGGAAAGGGAAGGTCTGTAAAGATGAGAACTATATGGTCTTTGGTATCCTCAAAGAGCTCTCAGGCTTCAGGGGGACATCTGGTAAGACAAACATTAATCAAGACAGACTGAGATAAGGGCTTTCACACTGCTGTAAACATGCTTCTGAGGACATGCACTGGCAAGAAACATGAAATCTGGCAAAGAGGGAAGGTTTTTCAAAACTAGCCTCTGACCTTGTCCTTGCAGTATAGTAACATTCTGAGAGATGGAAGGGGAGGCAGAAAGCATTCCTAGCAGCAGGGCAAGGCAGGCTCCAATCCACTTTTAAAAAACATCAGGATTAGTGTTCACTTGCTCACAAAAGGACTTACAAAGACTTTCCACATATACCGGCTTGTTGAATGTCATATCCACGCTGAGATCAGCATGAGTTATTTTGATCGATAACTGAGCATACTGCTGCTCCACCACCTAACTGCCTGGGATGCAGCCAGAAGTCACACCCAAGCAATCAGGCCCCATTTGTGAGCCTTATTCAGCTCTTGATCAACAAGACTGGGCAAAACCAACAGTGTGACATTTACAGAAGTTATGAAGACCTACACTCAGGTTTAAAAACTTTTCCGGAAGTGCAGGATGGAGAACATGTCACTGCCCTGTCTGTGGACTACAGGACAGAGTATTTAATGAGCAGTCAACCCATACTCATAAATACTATACTTCTGCTTGTGAATCCTCATTGTGCTCCACTTAGAGGTTATGGTAAGTAAGGGCTCCTCTATGGGAAGAGGTCAGACATCCCTAAGTCTCATTTCCAACACTTTCACCTATTAGCTCTGTGGCCAGGGATTAGAAACCACTTCTCTCCTGTGAGGCTCAGTTTCCTCATCATGAATCCGGCACACTAAACCCACCCTTAGGGGCTGCTAGAAGACTGAATGAGAAGATGCAGGCACAAGGTTGGCATGAAGCTGGCACTCTCTGTTGATGTTGGCCTTCATTAGCACCACCATGTCTGTCAGAACACACTTGAGACGGTACTGTAAACTGGACTTTTGGTTCTATGTTTTTAAGAGATTATAAAAATTTACAGAGCACTTGGGAAGGGTTAGCATGTGGGATGGCAGGGTAGAAGCTTGAGAAGGCACTAGTCTTGCAAGTTTGGACATTGGAAAGCCTGAGTTCTTGCCCTAGTTTTGTCACTCACCAGCTCTGTGATCTGAGGCAAGTCACAACTTATTTGTGACTCAGATCCTACCTGTGGAGTGAGGAGAGTTGAGATATGAATTCTAAATTACTTGTGAAGTCTCGTTCAGCTCCAAAAGTCTTAAAATTATATGAATCTTCCAAAGAGAGGATCAGGAAATTCTATGACATAGTTTGTGAATATGGTAAAAGCAATCACACAAAAGAAGAGTATGGTAAAAGCAATCACACAAAAAGAAGTGTGGTTTACAGGGGAAAATCAGAAAAAGCAGGACCAATAAGACAAAAGGCTTCAAAGATAGAATATCTGGGCTCAAGCTAAAGAAAAAAGAACTTCCCAACAATAATGGATGTAAAAAGTAACTACTGGATTGTGAGATCTTCAAGGGCAGTACTACGGTATTCAACTTCACACTCCCAGCACCTACCCCAGTAACTCACACATAGAAAACTCTGAAACCATGGATGGATTGGATGGATGGATGGATGGATGGATGGATGGTTGGATGGTTGGATGGCTGGATGGACAGATGGGTGGATGGACAGATGGATTGGAGGAGAGGAGGGAGGAAGAGAAGCAAGATAGGAAAGAGAGAGCTGCCTTGAGGGTAGTGAGCTTCCCCTTGTTGGGTGCATTTAGGCATCAGTTGGATAGCCATCCATAAGGGCTGCTACAGAATGGATTTCTGTCCATGTAGGAGGTTCCACTAAAGGTCTATGTGATATTTATTTCCTCACTTCTCTCCCTACTAACTCATCTTACATATTTTTGTCAGATTAGTCTTCCTAAAAGACAGTTCTGTTGATGTCAC